TTTTAATTATGGCTGGCTTAGAAAGTCCACCCTCAGAACCTGGTGGTTCAGGCTTAAAGTTCTCATGGAAACTTTGTTCTCAGGTTCTAAAGGGCAAAGAATAGCCTCAGGCTTTAGAGGTACTGAATGTCTCAAGGGTGAGTTGGTTTCTCACTTGACTATGACTTATATTTATGTTTGATTACAAGCAAGAATTACTTCTTTTTTCTCATTCAGTTTATTGGTAATTTTAGGTATACAGTACAGTTACATTCATTATTGGGTTCTTGTACCTTTACATGACAGGTCCTGGTTCTCATTTTTCCCCTTGTCCCTGCCAACTCTGCACCCCCCTTCCTTATTTACAAAAACTTTATTTCCATTTTCTCATAGTTTTTTCTTTTCCATTATTACCCTTCCCCTACCCTTCCCAATTCCCCTAAACCTTTAGCCTTTTTCTTCCTATTTCACATTTTCAATTATACCATATGGATCTTATTTACAATTATAATTTTTCACACCAGAGAAACTATTTGGTATTTACACATGTGTGACTTATTTATTTCACTTAAGAGTATATCCTCAATATGCATCCATTTTCCTATGAGTGACTCTAATTTCTCATTCTTTATGGGGGAGTAGTATTTCATTTTATTGAAAAAAAAAACATTTTCTTTATCTAGTCTTCAAATGATGGGCAATTGGGCTGTTTCCAAGTTTTAGCTATTACAAACTGTGCCACTATAAAATTGGGTGCACATATATCACTGTGGTATGATTCTTCCTTTTTTTTTTGAAAGCTTTGAATTTATTTTGATAAAAATGGACTATTGATTAGAAAATGCCATGAAAATATTAAATAAGTTAACACAATTTGTTCATCAAATGTCATGATTTGAAAGAAAAACAAAACATGCTATATAGTTCGGATTTTCATTTAATCTAATTCAATATGTACCTTTCCCAAATTCCATTTGTACAAGAGTCTACATTTTAATTTTCTTCTGTTAAAATATGATGAATTTAACTAACACAATACAAAGTACAGTGTCCTTATAATATATGAATAATCATCAAATATGATTCTTTTAATTCCTTTGCAAAGATAGCCAGCAGAGGGATGGCTGGGTCAAATGGAACCTCTAGTCCCAGCTCTTTGAGGTATCTCCATATTGGTTTCCACAGTGGTTGCACCAGTCTGCACTCCCACCAACAATGGAGAAGTGTTCCTTTCTCCCCACAACCCTGCCAACATTTGTTATTGATTGATTTCTTGATAGCAGCCATTCTCTGTGGGGAGAGGTGGAATCTCAGTGTTGTTCTCATCTGCATCTCTCAAATGACCAGTGATGTGCAACATTTTTTTCTATATTTACTTGCTGCTATTATTACTTTTCTGAGATGTGTCTGTTCATTTCAGATGCCCATTTTTTAATCAGATTCTTATATTTGGGAGGCCTAATTTTTTTTGAGTTCTTTGTATATTCTGCATAATACTCCTTTGTCTGAGGAGCAGCTGGTAAAAATTATTTCCCATATTGTAGGTTGTCTCTTAGTTCTGTTGATGGTTTCTTTTGCAGTGCAGAAGCTTTTTAATAAGATGAGGTCCCAGTTGTTGATTCTTGTTCTAGTTCCCATGCTACTCAGGATTTGTTCATAAAGTCTTTTCCTATGCCAATGTCTTTAAGAGTTCTGCCTAACATATCTTCCAGCATATTTAGTGTCTCTTTTTAAATATTTATATCTTTAATCCACTTGGATTTTAGTTTAGTACATGGTGAAAGATAAGGGCCTAGTTTTACTATTTGGCAGGTTGAAATCCAGTTTTTCCAACACCATTTATTAAGGAGGCTATCTTTCCTCCAGTGAGGATGGTTGGCTCCTTTGTCAAACAGGAGGTAACTGAGTACATATAGAGTTGTTTCTGTATCACAGAATCTATTCCACTGATCCTCAGGTCCGTTTCTTTGCCAGTACCATGCTGTTCTTATCACAGTTTTTCCAACACTGTTTATTAAAGAGAATATATTTCCTTCAGTGAGGATGGTTGTCTCCTTTGTCAAAGATAAGGTAGCTGAGTACATCTGGAGTTGTTTCTGTATCTTCCAATCTTTTCCAGTAATCCTCAGGTCTGTTTCTTTGCCAGTACCATGCTGTTTTTTTTTCACAGTGTCTTTGTAGTATAATTTAAAATTGGGAATTGTTATACCTGCTGCCATGTCTCTGTTGCCTAGGATGCCTTTTGCTATTCTAGGTCTCTTCTGGTTCCAAATGATTTTTTTATTATTTTTTCTAGTTCTGTGAAATATACTATTGGAATTTCAATCAGAATTGCATTGAATCTGTATAGCAGTTTTGGTAGTATGGCCATTTTCACTGTGTTGATGCTTCCTATCCAGGAGCAGGGGATAACTTTCCAATTTCTTATATCCTCTTTGATCTCTTTTTTCAGAGTGCTGTACTTTTCAGTGTAGATGTCTTTTGCTTCTTTCCTTATTTTGATTCCTAAATACTTCATTTTTGTGGATGCTTTTGTGAAAGTAATTGTTTCCCTAATTTCTCTTTCAATCAGTCTGTTATTTGTGTACAAGAAGGTTATTGATTTTTGAGTATTGACCTTATATCCAGCTACTCTGCTAAAAGTGACAATTAAGTCTAGAAGTCTTTTGGTTGAATTTTTTGTGTCTTCAATGTAGAGTATTATATTGTCAGCAAATAAAGATAGTTTAAATTATTTCTTTCCTATCTTTATTTATTTAATCTCTTTCTCTTGTCTAATTGCTGTGGCTAATGTTTCCAGAACTATACCAAAGAAGAGTGGTGATAGTAGGCATCCTTGCCTTCTTCCTGATTTTAACGTGAAGGTTTTCAGTTTTTGGCCATTTAATATGATGTTGGCTGTTGGTTTTTCATAGATAGCCTTTATTAAGTTGAGATATACACCATCTATTCCAATTTTTTGCAGGGTTTTTATCATGAATGGGTGTTGAATTTTGTCAAATGCTTTTTATGCAAATATTGAGAGGATCATATTGTTTTTGTCCTTGACTCTGTTAATATAGTGTATTACATTTATTGATTTATGTATGTTGAACCATCCTTGCATCCCTGGAATAAATCTGACTTGGTAAGGGTGTTTGATCTTCTTGATGACCCTCTGTATTCTGTTTGCCAGTGTCTTATTAAGGATTTTTTCATCTATATTCATTAAGGAGATTGGCCTGCAGTTCTCTTTTGTAGTTGCATCTTTCCCTGGTTTAGGAATCAAAGTAACACTTGCTTCCAGGAATGAATTTAGAAGTATTGCTTCCCTTTTAATTTCATTGAAAAGTTTAAAGAGTAGTGGCAATAGTTCTCCTATAAATGTCTTGTAAAATTCAGCAGTGAATCCATCAGGACCTGGGATTTTCTTCATTGGTAAACTTTTATTTACAGTTTCAATTTCACTGATTGTAATTGGGTGTTTAGAATATTTTTATCTTCTTCATTCAAATTTGGTAATTCATAAGTATCTAGAAATCTATCAATTTCTTCTGTGTTTTCCATTTTATCAGAGTACAGTTTCTCAAAGTAGGTATTGATAATCCTCTGGATTTCTCCTGGATCTCTAGTGACTTAACCTTTTTCATTCTTAATTGCATGGATCTGAGCCTTTTCTTTCCTTTTTTTGACAAGATTAGCTAAGGTTTATCAATTTTATTTATTCTTTTAAAAAAACAATATTTCGATTCATTGATTTTTTTTATATTGTTTTCTTAGTTTCCATTGCATTGATTTCTGCTCTAATCTTTATAATTTCCCCTCTTGTTTGAGATTTGGGGTTTTCTTGCTCTTCTTTTTCTAGGAATCTAAGATTCATCATTAGGTTACTTATCTGAACTTGCTCTGTCTTCCTAGTGTGGGCATTCATTGGTATGAATTTTTCACGTAGAACTGCTTTCATTATGTCCCATAGATTCCTGTATTTTGTATTGGCATCATTCATTTGTAAAAACTGTCTAATTTCTTCAATTTCCTCTCTGACCCATTGATTGTTCAGGAAAGTGTTGTTCAATTTCTGCGTGTTTGTCAGTTTCCTACAGTTTCTTATGCTATTGATCTCCAGCTTAATTGCACTAAGGTCTGATAATATGCAGGAGATAACTTCTATTCCTTTGTATTTATTTATTCAAACCACTTCTATAAGCTAGTATGTGGTTGATCTTGGGGAATGACCTGTGTGCAGCCAAAAATAATGTATATTCTCATTTTATGGGGTGGAACACTCTATAGGCCTCTATTAAATCCATAGGTTCATAAGCTTGGTTCAGTTCTAGTATTTTGTCATTGATTTTTTGCCTAGGTGATCTGTCCATTTGTGATAGTGGGGTGTTTAGGTCCCCTACTACAGTTGTATTAGTGCTTATTTGGTTTTTCATATTTCTTAATATTTGTTTTATATAGTTGGGGCATTAATATTTGGTGCATATATGTTTGTGTTTGTCATCCCTTTCTCTTAAATTGTTCCCTTTACCAGGATGTAGTGGTCTTTTTTGTCTCTCTTAATCAGTTTTGGTTTGAAATTTACTTTGTCTGAGAATAAGATAGCTGCCCCTGCTTTTTTCTGGGCTCCTGTCGCATGGAGAACTGTTTTCCATCCTTTCACCTTCAGTCTATGGGCTTCTTTTTGCACTAGGTGTGTTTCTTGTATACAACATATTGTTGGATTTTGCTTCTTAATCCATTCTGCCAGTCTATTGCTCTTGATTGGTGAATTGAGGCCATTGACATTGATGGTTAGAACTGATATGTACTGACTTATTGTTGTCATGTTATTGTCCTTTTGTTGACTGTTTTTAATCCCTCCCTTTATTCTATTGCCTTTCCTAAATGATTTGTTCTGTTGGGCCTCATGGTGTTGTGACCTTCATTGTCTTTTTCTAGGATATTGCTTAGAATTGCTTATAGTGCTGGTTTGGTATTCATGAAGTTTCTCAGGTGTTCTTGGTCATAGAAGTATTTCCCCATCCATTTTGAAAGAGAAAAATATGTAACACTTCACAAATTTGTATGTCATCCTTGTGCAGGGGCCATGCTAATCTTCTCTGTATTTTTCCAATTTTAGTATGTGTGCTGCAGAAGTGAGCACAATAATTACTTCTTAATATAAAGAAATCCCAACATAAGACAATTTTTTTTCATTTTGTCTCTTTTACCATATAATTCTAATTGTGAGATAGCATCATAGTACTGTCCTTTTTGTACTTGGCTTTAGGAGGTAGACATACCACATAAGGCTATAGAGTAATACTGAATTGCTCCTTAATACATTCCAAAGGAATGTGAGGTTCAGGTATGGGGCTCCTAATCTGAAACAAGAGAGACAAATATACCATCCCATAAGTCTCTACTTGTTCCTTGTGCCCCCTCAGGCATCTCCAGGGCATACCCAAGGTTTATTCCACTCAAGATTAATTAGCTACCTTCAGGAGTGAGACAGAAAATAAAATCAGACTTCACTATCTACCCTTTACCAGTGGTCTATCTTATCTTCCTCAGGTAACTCATATCCTTACTCCAGTAAGTACTCTCAAAGCACAAGTCACAATTGACTTCAGCTATAACAATCATGTTTAGAGAAGGAAGTAGTGCTAGCAAATCAAGAGACAAACCACTGCTTTCTAGTAGAGAGGGTTGGGGAGGGAGAGAGAGAGAGAGAGAGGATAAGAGGTAATAGGTAAATAAATTAGGGCACTTTTCCTGCCAAAGAGATCACCTCCAGAGATAGTAAGTCAGAGATTCTGTCCTGAGGCCTAGGGAAGAAAATGCTCTGAAAAATTTCTATTTTATATCCAGTCATTTAGGCATCTTTTATTAGCATCAAGACAAGCCTACTCCTTTAAGGTCCATTTTATGTTCCCTAAGCATTAGAAATTCATAGATCTTCCTAGCAGCCACAATCTACAAAGTAAAGCATCTTTATCAACTTCCTACACATATGCATGAAGGAAAAGAAAGTCCAACCAAAATAGTTCCTTATTCCATTTAGCATGTAAAAACACAAATGCAAGTTACTGATTGCTATTTTCCCTAGTGTAAGACAAAATAGTTGTTGCAAGTCGCCTTACTCTGACCTCCTGGAAAGAGGAGCAGTCTGACTACAAGGGATTCTCAAACAAACTCCCAACAAGTTGGGTACAAGTTCAAGGGGAGTTTTTAACTCACTAGCAGGGAGAGAAAGCCCAAATAAAGCTCAAGCTGGTTAAACATCCAAAAAATCACCATATCGCACTCTGTAAGTCCACAAACTATCTGCAAAGGTATTTTTTTTCTCCTAAACACACATAAATGATGAAAAGCATGCCTAGTGGGAGAGAAGATTTGGGTAGTATTTACTCTATCAAAGATTTTGTTTTTTCTATTTTCTAAGAGGTCTGCCTTATTAGTAGCAGAGAAAGCAGTAGCTCAATTCTTAAAGGAGACTCGAGAAAGGGTTCTGATGGCATCATTTCAGATCACTCTGAGACAGAGGTTATCTGAAGATCATTGACAGAGTTCCCCTTTCACCTCACTGAGGAGTCCAGATAGGACAAGATGTGGAGATTTTTTTGCTGATTACCCAGATTGGCTGCTGGAAGCTAGTTTCTTCTGAGGGACCTTTGGGTATCTGCCAGAGAGTATCCCTGTCCATGACCCCTCAGTTATCAGCTCAGTTTCTGCTAGTTCCACACAATCAGAGATCTGTCTCTGAAAGGAACCCAGCTGCCTGTCTGGTCAATATTCCACCTGCCATTTGCATCAGTGGGAGTGAGGATCCATCAGAGAGCAACTGGAGAGACCTGTACTGTGCTTTGAGATTGGCCACTGACCTGAAGGCAATTTCTAGCTGGGAGAGTAACAACTGTTTTGGCATTCTATAAGGGAGACATAAAAGCCTGAATTGTCTTTATCTGAAACAATTTTATAATAGACCGATTTTACAATATTTTTAAGTAACTAAATGCAAATGCAACACATATACAAACAAAAATAAAACATAATTTTAACAACCGACAATGCATCATAAGAGAAATAAGAAATTCGCAAACATTTAAAACATACAACTTAAAATGAATACACTTTTGAAACAAAAGCCAAAACAAAGACTAAAATCTATGAAACAAATGTCCAGAGTCTGTGAAACAAAAGTTATTATCTATGAAGCAAAGAAACCAAAGTTAGAACCTATGGAACAAAAGAAAACTCATACCTCTGACCAGTAATCTTGCTAGAAGACCTCCAAAATGATATAGGGGAAAGAGATGTCAATTACTAATATACTAGATATCTGAAATGTGCATTCATGTTCTCTAAAATCAAAGAATGAATTCTAGGAACAACTGAGGTTAAGGAAAAATTTGATGGGAGAAATAAAGCTTCTGCCTAAGAGAGACAGAAGGGGGACCAGAAAGTGGATTGCCCCCCTTGTTGTTTTTAAGATTTTTTTTTTATTATTTAGTCACCAACAAAAGCTCTGTCTTCTAGTTCTATTACTCTTCCCTCACACTAGTCATTCCTGTTGCCCATATTTTAATACAATTTTTAATCTCTTGAATTTCTACTTAGAGCTCTATGATGCATGTTTTGCATTATTTTGTTTAGTTTTTCCCATATTTCTAATAATGTCTTCTTTAGACTCAGTCATTAATTTATTTAATTGGTCTAATGTCTCATTACTTACAGTCTATCTTCTGTGGGCCTCTCACATGCCTTAACAAATTTATTATAATTATTTATTGTAATCTCCTCTGATACCATTTTGAATAATTTAGGTGTGAGGCTTTTGGTTTCCTTCCCTTTGATGTCTCATGGATCAGCTTTAGGATAGTTGGGAGTTTGGGGAGGTATTTTATTGTTTTGTCTTCTCACGTTTCTATTTTTGTTTGTTTTATGTTGAGGCTTATGTATTTATTATAGTGGGAAGTTTTGTTTCTAGAGTTGAGATTGCTTTAGTTAATATCTACTTTTCACTGGTGTCCTCTAGTTGTGGCTAACTCATGGCCTTTCCCTCTTTCACAGGATACAACCACCTTCATTCACTAGAGATGGAGTTTTTTGCATATTTGGCCCAGTAGTTAATTCTTCCAGAATGGACCACAGTATTGTTAAGGACCCCAAGGAAATCTAGATGTTGGCATGTCAAGAAAACCAATTAATAGCAATAGCAATGTCACCTTGGCTATTGTAATAAAGTCAGCATCAATTATGGTATTAATTCCAAACTGAATATTGGTAAACCCTAAGGACCAATAAAGTACCACCCTTGTTCCTGGACAAAAATTCTATAATTATAGCATGAACACTAAGACAAACCAAATATAGATCTACTATTGTCCTATAGTACATACTTACTACATGGAACTTTACATCTACTAACCATAAAACATTCAACAGCAATAGCATAAAGTTAACTATTAATCTAGAGATTCATATATCTTAGTAATTAGACTAATAAAGGTAGAGCAGGAGTAGTGAGGAACTAGAGAATGATAAAGGGGAAAATGGAAAAGCTAATTCATAAAATATGTGAAAATAAGAGGGGTTCCTGTTAAGCAGTAAAAGGAAATGAATAGTGATAGAGAACAGTGGCTAGAAAGACTAAACCTGAAAAAGAAAAAAGATAAACAGCAAAAATGGGAGATAAAAGAAAGATAAGATGGATGAGGAAATATGTTGGAAGGCAAAAAGTTAAAAGAAGGAAAAAATAAACTAAAAGATGAGTAAAATATGGGGAAGAGGGACTCCAAACCCTGAAAAAAAACTGATGAAGGAAAGATAAAAATAACACAAAATATAAAAATAAAAAAGATTGTCTAAAAAAGAAAATTCATGTGTTACTTAATGAATGGATTTTTTTTCATTCTTGGGTCCAACCAGGTACAATTTTCATTGCCTAGTATTAGGGCCTTGAGGTACCCACCTTGAACTTGAGAACCCCAAGACTGTGATTACTGTCCAAGCCAAGCATGTCCTTGCTCCTATTGCTAGCTAGTGAATGCAGTCTCCATGATCTGTGTAAGATGTAGGCCTTAAGGTGGGCATTCTTGTAGACTGTTGGACTTCATAATTATGAGGTCTGATTGCATCCTTCTCTCTTGAGGTTTATCCTTGTCCAGGATTGTGTCACTTATTTGCCTCTGCTGCTACCAGGCAGTCTCTCCTGGGGGCAGGGCATCTCTCTGCTAGCACAGATTGGCTCTTACCTGTGAGTGCAAGGAACCACTCCTCCGAAACTAGTAGGCTCTCTCACATGAAAGTGGGGCACCACTCCTTTTCAGCTCTTGCCCATGTGGGAAGGGTACCACTACTCAGGCAGGGGTCAGATCTTTCATGTTGAGGCAGAAGTGCTGCTCCAGATTGGCTGCGTATTATATATTCTTACACCTTTATTTTTTTTTTAAGGGAAAAGGCTTTTGGATAACAGTTCATAGGAGATTCAGTCCATAATCAGCTCACTTCAAGTTGGGATAACAAGTATGGCAGAGCAAAAACAATATGGCATGCACAAGGTAGCAAAGGTAACAAGAGAATTTAATAGCATCTTTCTACCCCTTTTATCTTATTCAAACTACCAGGATTAGGGCAATGCCAAACTAATCACTCAAGTGTAGTGGTTTGATAATCACACACCCTTAACCCTAGCATCACACATTCCAGATTCAACAATGTCTTAAAAAGAAAGTCCCACCTAATCTGCATGAAGTTTTGGGGGGCTATCTAAATACAAATCATATCATTCTACACCTGGCCCCCAAATACTCATTCACATTCCCTTATGCAAAAAAAAAAAAAAAAGAAAAGAAAAAGCATTTAACTCATCTCTAAGAGTTGCCAAGTCCTAATAGTTTCAGCATTGCTGAGAAGTCCAAGTCTCAAGTCCTCTGAGATTTAAGGCAAACTCAGCTGTGAGCTCCTGTATGAATGACAAGAAAGTTAAACACTTCCAACATTCAGTGACACAAGGTAAACACTACCGTTCCAAAAGGAACTCCCTCTTGAGTCATCTCTCTTTCCTCCTTGCAGCTTTCCTCAGATGAGCCATGGTCCTGGCTTCTCCAAACTTCTGCGGTCTTCACTGCACCTTTGGCTTCACACTCACAGCTTCACACA